GGGTGTTGTTTAGTTGAGAGAAATACCCGCTTCCGCTTCTTGAAGCATCCGCTCTGTTTCGCGGTCGCTTTGTCTCAGCGAACTGCGGCGGCTATTACGACAAGCGCCAACAATAATTCATGAAGAAGCCACCCTATCGGAAAAGTATGCAAATCAAGATTTAATTTTTGGAAGTGGAGTAGTATCGGATGGAAGCCTTCATAGGAATGATATAAAAACTTTGGACAATTATTGTATAACATCAGCGGCGCGGTTTTTCAGGGGAGATCGCGACGGTGAGACGCGCGCGGCAGCATTATAAGTTATCGTCGCCCGGCAGCGCGCTGCAAGTGACGCGCAAGATAAGATTACACAACGCCGCTAGCGGCGCGCCTGTGCAGTCGGATTTCTTCTAACGTCGATTTGAAAATTACTAAGCTGAAACTTACAACTAGAGCATAGAACAAAATTAATCCAATTGCAAAAGGAGTGGGATATTGGAACGTAATACATGATATACTTCCATCCCTCAGCGACTTCTACCCTGTAAATATGCATTAGGTAGCTTAGCTTGAACTTGGAGATGTTTGTAAGAAAAATAAAAGTAATAAGCGGAACTTACTAAGAAAAAATCGTAACCCAATGCGGAATTCCTATATTATCAAATGCACACTTGAGCCTTGATCAAGGGGTTCCGTTGCGATACCTGAAACGGAGCTTTGCCTTTTAAACGTAAAATTAGTGGCCAGATGCTCCAGGCTTGCGAGTTAAGCCTCAGCTATAGTTCGTATATAATAAGAAACTCTTAAACTTAATTCACTCGGCATTCGTTGTACGTAGATATTTCCAGTTGATACACCTTTATCACTAACTTTATCATAGTAGTCTAATACGTTAAATTGCCACCTAAACAACAGTTATCTAAGCTTAGCAGAGATTATGCCATATCGTCCATTTGCAGACGTGACTAGGATGAGGAACTAAGGATCGCCGTGGATCCGATAAATTCTGGAGTACCTCAATCAAACTAATGCCATTGCTCTGCTTTCGCTTGCAGGACTCTCGGCCTATAACTATGCACCAGCCGACTAGGTCACGGTTGGTCCGCCTCTAATCAGCCTGCTGCGCGGTAGACGAGAGGCAGGAAAATGATGACGCCTAGAGCACCTTGATGATGCCAGCGCACGTGGAATTCAGTCCACCGGGACTTCTGAGCGATGGACGAGTAGAGAGCTCTCAGAGGCAGCGGTTTTTTGGCCGGTACGCGAGTTGAGGGACTCAATGGCGACCACACCCCTAGCCGCCTCTAGCGCGCTGGTGTGTGCTGGGGCTGCTCTCGACCAGAGTCTACCCTACCTTGACAATGTTGGGAATTTTTTGCGACCCTCTTGCGGAGGAATCTGGATACGACCCCTCTCTGTGAAGGTTGTGTATGAAAACATTAATGTTACATAATGGACGGGAAGAAACTCCGGTGAGCGCAGTAGTTCCCGTGTTTCCAGATGTTCTTGCCCCAATGAAATATAAACCTCAATGAATTTGCACCTGCCTCTTTCGAGGATCATAATTTTCTTCGAATTCCAGGTTGTGTGACGATCGAAGAATTAAGTAGTATTTTCCTGACCATGGGTTGCAAACAGGTGTACTCAATTTTAGAATCCAGCTACTTGCACGAAAACATTTAATATAAAGATGTGCAGCCACTCTCTTCAGGTATTTCTTCGTGTAAGGTCATTAAAGTTCTTACTTTACTCCAGTCTACAGTAATAGGGGCGGAAGAATGGAGCAGTGGGGCAACCCGTTTGCATCTGCATGGTACATATGGTACTCTAGCGAGTATGCCTCAGGAATATAGAACCTGAAGGAAGGCATTCAAGACCAAGGTATGCTTCTTCATTCTTCAAGTGAATAATACTTACCTGGTTAATTTGACATCATTGAATTGTGCCGTTGGATTTTCGATATAAGTTTTGGTAAATTTAATCACACATCGATTCTGAAAAAACTGTACTCTATGAAATATGTTTGAATGTAATAAAGTAGAGAAAAAGAAGAAATAATATGCTCACCGCAATAGACCCGCCCATAGCTGAACGCCAACAATTCCAAAATGAAACCACAAAGAAACACAACAGTTGTAAAACATTTCCAACATCGGCAGTGTGTCGAGAAGAAGTTCACTGTAAATATGGCATACATGTGATTTTCATCACACGGTCCGCAGAGGAGATTCTACAGTCAGGTTGAAGGTGTTGAAGAATGGTTGAGTGACAGCGGGCCCCCTATGGATGCGGGACGATGCACGTTTTGAAGCAAGGAATACGTGCCCAGTGATCTAATAGGGCCATGCCAGCAGTGCTCGAGCCGTGCGCCGCCCACCCCATCGCCGTCCGCCTTTCGTCGTTTAGTAGACGAGAGCGTTAGCTTCAAAGAGGGTAGCAACGATTGAGAGTCACTCACTGAGGGAATCAAAGGGCTAGCGGGGTCCATTTTTCGGCTACTCGGCCGCTACGCATGGTTTTTTCTTCGCACTTGCCATAGCCAAACCATCTTTCCTTGGTTTTTCATGGGCTGCCCCATCGTGAACCCTGCTTCAAAGGCACGTTCCATGACGAAGATCAATGCTTTCTGTGAGTGTCGCAAACCAGTTTGCAAACCTCGTTGCGATGCGCTGCGGTTTGAAAGTGCGCGATATTGAGCGAGCACTGGGACCTGTTACTTGACCGCAGGTAGCTGCAACTATAAGTCCCAACGCAAAGGTTAGAGACAGAAAACTGCCTGCGATTCTAGGCACATCCTGTACGCTCGCGCCCGTCTCTCTCGGCACCCGGTGTCTCCTCGCGTGGCAACCTCACAATGAAACCCCCATACCCCAAATTTCGTGCTTTCGATAAACAATTTCGTTATTTTGCTAGCGGTCCCGTTCTACACTTTCATCTTAGGCCAGAACTCCATACCGTTGATAAAACCTGATGCAAAACTCCGGACGATAAAGATTAGTCGAAATGAATCTTATACTGCTTGCGCTATTGTTTAGGGTATTCATGTTACAACATTCTGAGAATCCAGTGGGTGTCTGTGATTGGTGAATTATAGCGAACATCAAGTAAAAGAGGCCCTGGGTTACGAATCGCGCTACAAAACGTGAGGAGGTTAAACGACTGGACACAAGAGCAAATCTTCAACCCTCACTCATGTGTCCAGTCGCTGACGATCGAAGCTGCAGCGAGGTATGCAAAACCAACCAAGGATCCTCATTGATGGTATCCGATTCACTGCTCGAAGTGGTCGCCAGTACTCGTACTGTACGTATCGCGGTTAGATTGATATTGCCACCAAGGTATTCTTGTAGCAAGAATTCGGCAATCCTGTAATTACGTTCTTCTCTTTGTGGGGACTCTCGGCTCTTTGCGAGAAGAAACTAGGCTACTTCTTTGTTTTCCTCCTTCACTGAAGAATAACACATTCGTAACTTCAAATTCACACGAATTCGATGTAAATTTAAAGCTTAATTATGAAATTTGAAGTCCATTTTACTTGTTCACAGTGGAAGGATGCAGAATTCTTCCCGAACGGCTCTTTAGCGTAAATTGACACGACCTGGGTAAACCTCACGGGATGAATTTCAAAACAAGATACCCTCCCCTTGATGGGCCAACCCACACCATCTTGGATGGCCGGTAGTGTCATTGAACCTTTCACCACGGATGCACTCAAGCCTTCCTTAAAACTCTCCAAGGTGCGTACAGCGGGAGCGGGTATACTCAACTCTTAAAGTCAATTCCTACGTACATAGCTCATACTTTTCGTCCAATATTTGGGCAGAGGATAGCCGAGTGGTTAAGAGGTTAGACTCATGTCTGCACCTCTGAAAAACCGCGAGTTCGATCCCTGCGAGGCTGCAAACCATGCTTGCAAAAATTGCAAAATGGTTCTAGTACAGCGTCAGGCGCCAGAGTTGACAGGCCGGCTGATGAAGACCCCCGTCATAACAAATATGTCTAAAAGTCGCAAAAGAATCAGTGTGTAGTGCTAGGACGTCACCCGAGAAGTGGCGCGCAGGACCCCGCCCGAGTTCTGTGGTCACTATGCGAGGGCTACGAGAAGAGAACGGCTTCGGCCAAAAGAAATATCTGCGAATAGGGACTCTAAACATAGGATCACTGACTGGGAGGTCCCGAGAGGCTGCTGATCTGATGACGCGCAGGAACATTTCAGGTGCTATGCCTTCAGGAAACGCGATGGAAAGGTGCGCAGCCAGGGAAATCGGGAAGGGTCCAAATTACAATGGGGAAGACACCCAAGCGGAGAGAGGAACTTAGTCTCGGTTATGACCTTTCACACCTCCTCGCCGTGGTTATCTCGCACACCCTGTAACCTGCCTCTGGTAGACCTTGCTTAATTAGGGTGCCTCACTCACCCAACATTATCGGGGAGAGGGAACTTAGTCAGATTGACCTTTCACACCTACCACGTCGTACCTCGCATCACTCTCTCACCTGCTACGGCTGGACCTTGCTTAATAGCTGTGCTGAGCTATTTTATTAAAGAAAATCAGAAGATATGAGAGTAAAGGAGCAACTCTGAAAATTCAACTACAGGAAACGTGCTAATTTCCTCATTTGGTTCATTCTGCCGGAGAATTCCTTGAGCAAAGTACCAGTATAACGCATTTTTAACCTTGCGATAATTTAGAGAATTATCACAGCGTTGCCCATAGCTTTCCTGATACCTTTTTCCCCTATCACTGTCTTTCCAAAATTGCCCAGTACTTTTGAACTACGAGTGATTCACGAAAAGAGTGCGCTGACGACGTTCAGTGAATATTTTTCAGCTTTTTTTCTTTTACCTATGGGATTTTGACTAATTTATAGAGAAAATTTAGAGCGATAAGCTTAACTTTGAGGAACTATGTTCGATGGTTCAGCGCGCAATTTAACCTTTGTTGGGGAGCGTTGGGAATTTTTAACTTCCGACCTTCCTTTTCCTTACAATCCTCTTTGTGCCAAAAGGTAGAAGATACTGGGTACGACCGGAGGCTGCAATTAAAAAGAAAAGCCATTATAAACGAAATAATTAAAATGGTTCGTTTCGCTCCTTCCTCAGACGAACCTTATTATTTCGTCATCCCCGTCAAGGGGATGTTCAGTGAAACGCCGTTGAATTTCAAAATCAAATTCAATCAGTTCACGAGATCAGTGTGCTACGACATTCAATGATCATATTCCAGTTTTCTTTCGACATTCCCCATTTTACCAATAAGCTACGGAATTTGAATTAATTTATAGAGAAGCTTGCGTACGATTAGTTTCGTTTCGGAGGAACTACTCCTAGATCACTCAGCGCGCAATGTTATCCTTGTCGGGAGAGCGCTGGGGAATTTCCATTTTTAGGTACTACCTTCCCCTCCTTGCAATCATTCCCGAACCTGAACCAGGGGACAATAGGAGACAGTATGGATGTAGAAAGCGATCGTGGTTGCAATACACACACTGTTGACCATGAACTTAACATTTAGCTTTCGAACGGCTTACGATTAGCTTCGTTGACTATTTCACAAATTGATCAATTTGCATAAATTTAAATTTGAAATTTTTCTGTTAACCATCTTGAACAGCTGAGGTAATGTTTACCCCAGGTGTTCCCCAGATCCTTGAGGACCAGTGCCAGCATGCGACTTGGGGCAACGCGGCTGAGACCATCCAACGATGCGCCATGGAGGTACTGGGAGAGGCACGAGGTGGATTCAGAGGAGACACAGCGTGGTTCTGGAACGAGGAGGTCCAGCGAGTCGTGAAGCAGAAGAAGGAAGCATACAAGCGCTGGCAGAAGACCCGGAGCCCCGAGGACCTCGCTGCCTACAAGAGTTGCAAGAGGCTCGCTAAGGCCGCCGTAGCCAAGGCAAAGAACACGGAGATGGACGCCTTGTACGAGAAGTTGGAAAGCAGAAACACAGAGAAGTTCGTATTCAGACTGGCCAAAGCCCGTCATCGGGCTATTCAAGATATCAGGGTAGTGAAGAGCGTAAAAAGCAACAACGGCGCCATACTGAGAAAGCCAGCCCAAGTTCGGAGGTGGGAAGAGTTTCAGTCTTCTGAACGAGGAGTTTCCCCAGGAGAACAACTCACGGGCAGAGGCCACAGCTGGTCCCATCGCATCTGGACAGAGGATGAGGTTCGCCGTGCACTTGGGAAGATAAAGGTTGGAAAGGCACTTGGTCCGGATGGAGTACCCATAGAGGCTTGGAAGGCCCTGGGAGAGCACGGGGCGAGGTGGCTCACCCGCTTCGTGAAGACGGTGACTGCCGAAGGAAGGATGCCGGATGCCTGGAGAACAAGCACTATCGTCCCCATCTTCAAGCAGAAGGGTGACGCGATGGACTGCTCCAACTAGCGCCCCATCAAGTTGACTGCGCATTCCATAAAGTTGTACGAGCGGCTGGTCGACTCGAAGCTGAAGGAGCTGGTCCCTATCTCTCAGGAGCAGTACGGGTTCATGCCTGGAAGATCCACAACAGATGCCATCTTCATCGCCAGGTAGGTGATGAAAAAGTATCGCGAAAAGCGCAAGCCTTGCTACCTAGCCTTCCTCGACCTGGAAAAGGCGTTCGACCGGCTACCGCGAGCAGTGCTATGGGGGCCGCCTAGGGATCGAAACGTGCCAGAACACCTCATCTCTCTGGTGAACGACATGTACGAAAGAGCCAACGCGCCACCCCATACGGCCTAACGAAGGAGGTGGACATCACGGTCGGGGTGCACCAAGGGTTAGCTCTGAGCCCGTTCCTCTTCCTCCTAACACTAGATGGCCTTGTGAAAGGACTCATGGAGAAACCACTGAAGACTATCCTCTATGCTGACGACGTCGCCTTGATAGCTGATAGTAGAGAGTAACTTCAAGCCAAGGTTCAGAAATGGCAGAAAGTCCTGACAGAAGGTGGACTACGGTTGAATGTCAAGAAGACCAAGTTCCTGAGCTCCGAAGAGGGTGCAGAGCCGATAGTGGACGGCCATGGTGAGATCATCGAAAGGGTGGAGGACTTCCGATACTTTGGAAGCGATCTGGCAGCCGACGGTAGTGTGGATCAGGCGGTGAAGGCTCGGATCAACGCTGCATGGATAAAATGGAGAGAGTCCAGTGGAATCCTCTGCGATCGAAGATGCTGCAGAACGCTCAAAGGGAAGGTGTACCGAACAGTAGTCAGGTCTACGATGCTATACGGCAGCGAGTGCTGGCCTATGAACAAGAACCACGAAAGGCAGCTCCACTTCGCTGAGATGAGGATGCTCAGGTGGGTGCAGCTGGACGCGGCTGGACAGAGTTAGAAACGAAGATGTTAGAGCGGTCATGCAGACTGCCCCTGTCCTACTAAAGGTACGAGAACAGCGCCTGCGATGGTATGGGCATGTGCTAAGGAGGCCACAGGAGCATCCGATAAGAACAGCGATGGATTTCGAATTACAAGGCAAGCGACTGCGACAAGCCCCGAAGAAAAGGTGGAAAGACGTAGTCAAAAAGGACCTAGGTGAGGTCGCGGCCACGATGGAAGATGCCCTGGACCGAGCAAAGTGGCGACGGCTGACAAAAAGAGCGGACCCTGCGACTGCGCGGGACTAACGCTAGAAAGAAGAAGAAGAATAAGACTTTTCGTCCAATATTTCAGGACTTTTCGCTTCCTAAAAGCGACCTTCTCCCCTCTGATCTTCTTCTAGAGCCTCAAGTACGACTCTATCACCAAGGCGACTCTCTTTTACCGCGATCCAGTATGATTCTGGGCATGGCACTGAATTCGCTCTGCTCGTTTTCCGGTGAGCAAACAATGGGTCTATTATACTTTGTTCCTTTCTTTCCATTTCGTGAACTTGTCAGCAGGTTCTTAGAAAGTGGTAAAAGGTTTATATATATGCAATCTCCAGAAAATCATTATGTTATATTATTCAGGGGTATTACGTAGCAATACGCAATAAAACTAATTTCAGAATCAAACGCAAAAAAGTAAATGACTAGATGATTTTATGCATGACACTTCCCACTGAAAGTATATGTAGCTCGAAAATAAACGAGTGACTCTTAACACAAACCCTGCCACCACGATGAAGAAATCGAGGCGATTCCATGTATCGGATAGGTAAGCGGCGGGACCGGTAAAGCCAAGTGCAACGATCTTCACTACCTGGAAGGAAATGCATTTAAAAATGATCACCATAGATTGATGATGTGATATATTACAGTGTAGAGTCAGGACATCAGAAAAAGGATAAACCTTTCGGCGCTGATCAGTCACTGTTTGGGATGTGCCACGAACTCGATCACATTCAGAATAGCAGCGGCGTTTTGATCACGATTAGATCTATATGATAATTTGTAGGGCCAGCCGATGTTCACCTAGCGTTAATATTCCCCAATACCAGCCTAATACCGTTTACCCGACTCCGGGGGATGCAAAGTTTAATTGGCCTGGATGGCGCACTACACAGGTCAATCCCGGACCGTCTGCGCGGCTAGCAGCGCCGCTTGCCCCTGCAACAGTTAAGCTCGTAAGTATTATTCACGAAAATTGACTGTTATGAATGTTAGTTCAAGAGAGGCGGTAGCCATCTGACAGGGCAACTAATTTCATTGAATTGGGAATTAGTCATGGTCATGATAGGGGTTTTGAAGTCACAAGATTATAAGTTCAGCAACATAGGGTGTATACCGTAACCTTCTCGACATTGCACTGGGGCGCGCATTCTCACTTTCAACGAAGAGAGAATGTGTCGAGCAGGCCCGCGCAGTGTACTAAGCGCCGTTCATGTAGAAGGTGGAGGATGCAACGCAATCGACTGTTGCCTCACGTCGGAAGAGGCGGCACCCCGGGGACTACCTCCTTGTGCCCACGCGCGCGCGAACGCTGCAACGGTGTTCGACTTCGTCGCGCAAGCGGCGAGGTGAACGCTTTGTGTTGGGAGTGTGGCGTAGTTGATCCACGTTGCATTATTCTTGCGCTTCTCCACCCTCACTCAGCTTCACGCTATTTCGTCGTGTTTGTGTCCCTAGCGACTCTAGCCACGTGTGATTCTTCCAACCATCAGAGTTACGCGAAACTGCGTGGTGACCGTTGGTTACATACCTCTATATATTCACCGAAGTACAACACGATTTTCCTAATCGAGTTCTTCATTCATTTTTTGCTTACCATTTCCGCCGCGAAATACACGAATATGGCGTGATCGATTAAGGCGAGGATATTGCAACGATATGTGTTGCAGTCTGGCCCGTCATCGCACGGCCGATACATTCCTGGAAGAATGAGCACATTTTTCGGGAAGTACACTAATTTGTGCAGATTAACTACTAATTAGTATTTGATCCGCACAAATCTCAATTAATTGGTAAGCTGAACGTACAGATAAGAGAAAGTAAGTGTTATAACCTAATGTGATGCAGTTTATGAGGATGACGAACATCGTGACCCTGTCGAACCACGGGCTCATCACTAATGTTAGAGCCCATGATCGAGGAGGTTGCGCTTGTCTTAGACATCGCAAGGCTGGCTCGGCGAATCTGAAACGCCTATTACAGCTGAAGAAGGGAACGTGATTTTTTGAAACAGCAATCCCAAAAAGTAGTAGGAAACATAAAATAAACATCATCCAATTTTGAAGGAGCTTTGAAAGCGTAATGATGTCAGAAACAGGTGTAAATACGAACAAATAGAGGGAGGAAGGTTACGAATTCTGAACCTCACACTATTTGACGTACACCAACTGGGCCGTGGCTCAAAGTTAGCTTGTGCTATTTCTGCTGGTGGACATTTTTAAAGGTGCAGGAAATCTATTGAGAAGAAATCATTCATAGCGTTCAAAGGTGTTCACGGCTTTATTAGAGATTCATCGATCTTGACACTTGACGGCAAGGGTCAGAATCAAATTGATATGGTAATCTCATTCAAATATTGGAATAAGCATGAGAGGTGGAGTGGAGTGCAAGTGAGAAAAAGCAAAGCAAATCGTGAAAACACAATAGATATGAGCCTTTTGTTCTACGTCGTGGAGAAGTCCAAGGCATGTAGATGAAAGATGATATGAGTCACAGAGAGGGTGAAAGAAGACCGAGTAGAGAGGGCATGGCTGATCAACACCCCTGTGTAGATACGATGTCATGGTAAGCGGACCTTGATTGTTTTGGTGGGATGACTGAGCTCCTTAGCGCCCAGCCCCTCCCTAGCGACGCGTTTCGATGTCCTAACGGACAACATCCACGAGAGCGATTACTTCAGTGAGGCTTAGCTCGAACCCTGCCTTTAAGGTTACTCTCACTTCCGTAAAAGCCCAGCGTGTGCAAACCCTTAACCTAGCCTTTTCGACAGATTCTTTTCCTCTTCTTTATACTGTCTCACCAATTTGCACCAGCGCTTTCACTTTCGTGTGCAAGAACGACACCTTCCCGTTATGGGGCACGCCTACAAACAATACGCGAGAGTCGAGCTCTTTTCGGCGTGTGCCACGCCTCACAATTCCACATAAAATTGCAGAAACGTTGAATGCGGTTGAGCTTTTAAATGAGTTCTTGATGGGCAGCCGACGTAAATCAGTGCTGTCGGATCTGGTACCAATTAGAGTCTTGATAGGCTTCGACGAGGTTTGTTTCGAATTTGACCATTGGACCACTGGCCACTAGAACACTTCCACCTACATCATGTGATACTATGTAGTTGGACAATGAAAACAATTCGCCAAAAGCAGCAACGATCATGACCATAATCAAAATGGTATGGATAGATCATCCATATCACAGAAAATCACTCTCAGAATTGTAAGGATTTAGAGGAAAATGAAAAAAAAATTTTCAGTGATACCTCCAATTTCTAGTCTAGAGACGTTGGCCAAAAAAAACAGTTCGTCAAGTAGCACTACTGTGATCATCCACTTAAGTGCCTCCACTTTCTCAAACTCGATTACATCACTGTAGCTCAGATTAACTACAGTAACCGTGTTGAAGCTAGAAATTACTTAGCTAATATAAGTTATTCAAATACTTTTTGAAAGCGTCTCAAAGTCTAAGCGAATTATGTAAAATTATTTTATAACAGGGAAGCCCGCGATACCTCAGTGAATATTAGAGATTCAATGATTCAAAACATTCGACGTAAGTGTACAGTGTACCTACGAGCCATCTGCGTGTACCTACGAGCCTTGAGGGACACACGGCGCAATAGTTCGCTCCCGAATCCGTAATCTGATTTTTTTGCAGAGGATGAAATTCCGGATTGTGTGAACCAGTCTGCTTATTAAGGAGCTAGATTAGTGTGTATGAAAATAACAATGTTAGTCATGGTTTTGAAGGACTTGGATCCCAGTGTGACGATATTTCCTTCCCTCACCGTCTGCGGACTACTTGAACCTGGTCTCAAATATGTCAGTGGGCTGCCCTTGTCTGCAAACACTCGCCTTATAGTGGTCGGCTATGGTGAGCTCGCCATTCAAACTTCAACTATGTAAAGATGTGGCTCACGCTTCCCCCTCCCCCATCCTCTAAATTCCCTCACTTCCCCCAATTGGCACTGTTTGGAGCTACGCTTCGCGCCCTTCTCTCACTGTGCTCTAGCCCGTTCGCAGCAGGACCGTTGAGGAAAGTTCGAGGAGTCCGTCACCCACCCAGGGTCAACCTTCACGTTCGAACATTTTTGGGATTTTTGCGACTCCCTAGCTCTCGAGGGGGTCCAGTTGCGACCCCCTGTTTTTGTTGATAAGAGTGCTAGACATGAATCCGTTGCGCCAGAAATCGTTTGCGTCGCCGCCGCAGAAAGCGTCTGCGTTGCGGCGTCAGCCTTGGAGCGCGGCAGGTACACCAGGGCGCTGGAAGAACGGGACGCGGCGAAGAAAAAAATTTGGAGGGGAATAACTTTCTTGGGACGTAATTTTTTGACTTGCTGAGGTGGATTTTGATTGTGCCTGAGGTGCGCTTTCAGAAAACTACAAGGATTGCCTAACTCTCCGGAGGGTACTTCTGTTAGAAGTGGAAAACCCAGAACTCTGAGAAGGCGCACCTCCAACTTTGAACGTCCATAATCTTTCGTATGCGACATTTTGGAGATCTGTAAAAAGTTTCAGAGACTTCAAATATTTCTCTAACAAAATAGTATAAAAAGTTCAGTGATTGTCACCTTTTTTCAGGAAAAATTGTCGCCGTTCCGAACACTTTTCTGAAATCGCGAGTTTTTGGGCTTTCAGCGAGCATAACTCAGTTCATTTTCATTTCTGTGATGCACTTTTTTCATGCGGTGAAAGTACAGGATTTGCTCTTCCTAACAAGTACCAAACCTTTTCTCAAAATCCATTTTTCGAGAAAATCACACGTTCGAACATTTGGGGGAGGTTTTGCCGAACACTTTTTTGAAATCGCGAGTTTTTGGGCTTTCGCAGGCATAATCACTTCATTTCTGTGATGCATTTTTTTCATGGGGTGAAAGTACAAGACTTGCTTTTTCTAAAAAGTACCAAACCGTTTCTCAAAATCCATTCTCCGAGAAAATCACACGCTCGAACATTTTGTTCCTATAGGTTTTTGAGCAGCACATGCGAGTTTTTGAGGTTTCAGCGATAATAGCTTCCTTCAAAGAACTTGTTGGGGAGGGGCGAAGACATTTTTGAAGACTACGAGATTTGCGCTTACTGATGTATATTACAGTTTTTCTAGAAGAGGCGTCCTCAAAAAGCTAGGTCTCCAAAGAGCTTTGTTCCAGCCCCGAGAAGTCAAACCTTTCATAGGGATGCATTCAACTGTTCATTATTCCTCAAGGAAAACACCGTAATTTGCCTGAAACTGTTTCTCTGAGCATAATTAGTCGAATCTAATGCGGTCTGCACAAGCAATTCTTGCTTTCGGACACGCCACGCATGCGCCTGTGGCTGGCAGCGCTCGAAATTGCGACCCCCTTCCGACCAAAATGCGACCCCTTCGTTCGAATAGTTCGAACGGACGGTTAACCCTGCATCCACCTACCCCCCAACTCCAGCCTTATTCCTTCTAGCACACTTGAACGAAGATGTAGACACTTTTAAAAAAGGTAAAATGTTATCCGAGTGGATTTTGAAATAGCAAATGTATTTGCAGCAACTAGCGTGGAGCGAATCACTTACCCCGGGTATGGAAGATCATCCAAATCCTCGATGTGTTCCTCTTCTCCCCATTCCACCTGCTTATCCCATCGAGAAGCAGATGGCTCGTAGGAAGTTCCCTGCTGAAATATACGAGTATTTATAATTGGTTTCAGGAACGATGCAGCAAAATTCACAAAGATGAAGGATACATGGAGTTGTGTCAATCATATGTAATTAGGCTTGAAGTTGTAGAGGGTAATTGCGAATATACAGCTGCGTATTAGCATCAATATCGTTAGTTCCAATCGAGCACTCTTTATTGAAGCATTATGGGCGTTCAATTCAATGCCACTAGAAAATCAGCATGGTTTGTGATGAGGACCACAAAGACCTACAGAGAAAACTTCATCGATCACCCCTAGTGAAATGTTTGGAACATATAAAAGACAAACAGGATAACGTGCTTGAAGCTAACCACGTCGATGCGCCACGCATAAAACTTCACGTAAGACTATTGAAAACTGTGGAGGACTTTTACCTACCATTTATTTTGAAGCGCTACAGTGGCCAATCAGCTTTAAAAGATTCCTCCCGAACACTACCCTTTTACAGGAAAATTTTGTTTCTACCTAACGAAACTGTGGTATGGAGGGCTCGGTTAGCTGAATCAGGGTCACTCCTGGTATTTGTGCGATTTCTAGTTTTCGTTTACGATCCCAGCCTACCATCATAGCTTTTTCTATGTCCTTATTGTAGAAAGTTCGGGGACCAGCAAACCAGTTGACATGTTCCAACGCCGCCTACTTTTTCCCGCAAGTTCCTACAATTGCCTATTCTGAGGGGGGGGGGGATTAGTGGAATGAATATGCTTCAAGGAACGAAAAATGTTATAATTTTTTCATGAGTAAGTTTTGTAAAAGGTTACTGAAATCCGTCAAAAACAACACTCATCTCCTGCAAGTGCGACTCCATCAACTCTCGAAATGGACCCCCTTTCAACATTCAAACATTCCTCAACAGCTAAAGCTCTTGCAGAATCAGTGTGATATAGTTACCGGAGGATGGCTTGGAAGCATCGAAGGTGTGCATTATATTTACAGTAAATCTTTACAACAACTAACAAAGCGGTTGGAAAGTAAGAACCATTGAGGGGAAGCAATGGCAGAAGAAAAAAACACATCACACATTAATTTTTCTAGACATTTCTCATCATGTTTGATATTACGCTGAAATTTGTCGTGAAAATGTCCAGCGCTGCGCTGGCAAATTTTCCACTTCATTGGCTATTCTCAGGAAAGAGCTCAAAGATTTTTTCTTGTGAACCTCCAGCATTTCACTCATCATTGCGTGAAATTATAAAGCGATCGCTGCCACTCTACGGCCATCAAGAAAACTTCCTGAAATCTTTGAAACGTATTCCTCAACTCCACCATGACCATAATCAAAATTCCCAAATATGCTCTAATATTGCAAGCATATAGGCGACATTAATGTAGGGCTATTCACTAAATAAGTCGGGGAATAAAGTTCGCCAGAAAAGAGCACTTCAGGTCTCCTCAAGCGGCTGACTGCATCGATTCGACCAGTTTACTACCACCACCACAATACGAGCGTACGTTAAGCTAAAAAGTAAAACAAACCAGGTTGAGTCATAAAATATCCCCGAACATTTTTCACTTATTTATATTTATTCGTTGGTTGGTCGGAAGCAATACGCATTAAATATCAAGTATTTAACAGCCGAGTGATTTAGCTTCAGCTGCGTCAAAGATAAACTTCTGAATAAAATAACACCATAAAGGCTCCAACAGTAATGCTTGTTGGTTTTGATAGAGCAATATGTAAATATAACACCGATAGATTTTTGACTGTTCTTGCTCAGAATTCCGAAAAAATTGAATTGTTTTGTTTAATTGTTTTCCGCCAAAGTTAACCCTTGGAGGGTACTTCAAAGGAGTATTTAATATAGAGGAGGAAACGCTCTATGAAACTATTAATAACTTGAACTTTTAATTGAGCGTAATCACCGTTTTCCCATCTGCTTTCGGAGTGATGCTCTCTACAGTACCATAGCCTCAACGTCATGATAGTCCTAGTCTTTTGTGGTTTCAGACCTAACAAGTCCTACCTCTGCCTGCAGAGAAAGGCGTCGGAATATAGGAGGGCATCCCCTAGGACTAAGCATAAGAAGGCAAGAACTCGGGTTAAAATAAGCATGGCTCACACACCTGGAGTCTCTCCTCCCCGGCCTAAAGATTAGTCCCATTTTCAACAAAAAACATGGTTCATGCACTTTCAAATGCAATGCCATCACAGCGCCCGTATGTTGCGATAGCGCCCAGAAAAGTTGTAAGGAGAAATCCGTTCACAGCACAGTCTACTCTGCCATGCCAAAAAGTGGTATTCAATCAGCAATGACGTTGTATACAGCGTTAGATTTGGACATGCTAGGGGCAGATGAAGACGGACCACTACCACTCGTAAGCAATCGGCAAGTCTCGGCGTTAGCCAGTCCTCTACGTTCCATAGACTGAAATCAGTCAGCAAGGTAAAAAAAACAGTGAGCTCAAGTACCACAACGAGTGGTACCCGCGTCTCAGCGCCTGCGCTAACATTTATAATACCGCAGCTATAATGCTGTAATTACGGACAGTCTGTTGGAGTTAGGATCGGTATTTCTCTCACGCTGCATACAAATATTGCACTTGCACTTCGCATAGGAACCATGCATGCGCGACCAGACATTGCGTGCTGAAGAGAGCTTGGAGAAACAAAGCCAACGAATGAATGCGACGTTCGTCCTAAACTGTTTGAGCTAACGTAGGAGACAGATTTCTTGTTAAATTTACATGTGGAAAGAATTTTTGGGGCAAATTGATCCCATATTCCAAAAAGAAATGTACAGATTACAAGAGCGAATACGCAAATCGAGGGTGCTAAAGTAACTGTGGGAAGGCCATCGTGCTAGGGAATTGATTTGGACCGACAGATGCTCTCCAAAAAAAAATGACTGGTAAGAGCCTGGATCTATGCTTTAGTTGATTCCATCGGAGATGACAAGAACTTAATACTATTATAGAAGAATGAAGTGCCTCGCGTCGCAGCCAATAAATCGCTTCATTGGCTAGGGCGCAACGCGACTGCAGACGCTAGCGAATCGCTCGACCACAGAGTCTAACATCGGCCTACGTGCTAACAAGTCAGCTCCTGGGGTCCACATTTTGGTCAAAGAGGTGTCTTCAGCACCCGTCCCTGTCGTACTGTGGCCCCGGCAGTCGATTACCCTCACCTTACCCTGAGCTCGGTTGCGTCTCTGGTCAAACTCACGTATTCCCAGTCCTGTTCTACGGCGTTATGGATGGAGACGACGGATAATCACATTTCCCCTTAGGCTAAGACTGCCTAGCAGATTTTATGGAGTTCTTGGGGAGAGGGAACTGGGTGTGCATCTTTAGTCAGGATTGACCTTTCACACCTCCTCGCCGTGGTTATCTCGCACCACCCTGTGACCTGCTTCTGGGTGGACCACGCTTAAAGGCAAAGTTCGGGCTCAGACCCACCTAATGAGCCCTTAAAGTGGCTAGAAGCGCATGGGACACAACTGTAAGCGAGTCGCCAAAACCCCGCATCGAAATGCGTCACTGAAGCCCTAGGGGCCAAGGACTTTGACACGCTCCTCCTGCCGCGACACGCTCCGCCCACCGCTCGATATTTTGTCCGCATCGCAATGCTGAGCTGCTATGCCCTCTCTTCTCGGATTTCTCTACCGCTCTCCGCGCTCTCATTATCTCTCACCTCCCTGCCGGCCTTTTGAACTTCGCCGCAACGTAGAGCAAAACGATCGTATTTCCTGTGTATTTCACGTTTTCTTTTCCTTTTTTATTCACTGGGGGTCCACCTCCCACTCCCACAATCCCCTTTGTGTACAATTACCTCATCAGTTTAAGCTTGAATCTTGCTTTAATTACTGAGCTTGAGTGCTGACTCCAACCCGAAAAGACCTCATTATAGATGATATATGTATTGATATTGTAATAAATTCATTTATACAGTAGCGTTGGAGGGAACGAATATCAGAGAAAAATGGATAAAATTGGCGCTCAAGAATACATATTTTCAACTAACAGCACTCGCAGTGCAAGCCATTTTCCACGCAGAACAGCTACGAAGGTGAAACACCAATTTTTTTTTTGGGGGGGGGGGGAGGGGGGGGGGGCGGAGGGAGCACTCCATTGTTTCTCCAAATGCTCAAGATAAGGATGAGAGCACTCATGGCACGTAATCGGCTCATTTAGAGCATACTTCTGGTAAGTATCGCTGTACTGTGAAAGAAGTCCCTCACATTTCCGCCTGCCATGGTACATGGAAACGGTCCTGGACAAGGATACTGAACACGGATAATGAACACCTCTGCTTAGGTCTTGGGGTAGAGGAGCTCCAGAGAGGATGACCTGGATAGTAAAGTGGATAGCTTGTGGGCAGGATGTGTGGAACGGAGAGCATATATCAATCTTTATCAAAAGTACGCTTAAATTAATTCGTTTACTTATTACCTTATCGTAGCGTTGGATAGCACAAATGAATGCTCTCCTACGGATAAGTTAGCAATGGAGTGCCCCCCCCCCCAACTGAAGTTTCAACTTACGAAATTAAAAGTTTCGCCCAACTTCCCGACAGGCAGATTAATTTATGAAAGTGTGTTGCCAAAACGGTCATCTCGAGATGTAGAACGACTCTGCAGTAGGATGTCGAGAGTCACTAATACATCTGTGCAGTCTGAATTGCTTGTTAACTATGCTAAAAATTTGCACAAATTGAACCTTGGTTTGTATCCGTGATAGTAAGGAAAGACTTATAATCAATACTGTGCATAACAGCGATAAGTTGGAGTGAGGTCAGCACTCAGCACACCTAATTAAGCAAGGTCTACCCAGAGGCAGGTTACAGGGTGGTGCGAGATAACCACGGTGAGGAGGTGTGAAAGGTCAATCCTGACTAAGTTCCCTCTCCCGAGGGAACTTAGTCAGGATTGACCTTTCACACCTACTCGCTGTCGTTACCCCGCACCACCCTCTCACTTGCCTACGGCTGGACCTTGCTCAATTAGCTGTTCTGAGCGCTGACCTCGCTCCAACAAATCGCTCTCATGAGCAGTATTGAT